ACACAATCCAAACGAGTACAAGTTAAGGGGTGGTGTCTGAATGGAGACCTGTTGCTGTCAGAGCTTCTCTGAAAACTGAGCAGAGGTGGAAACAAGGGAAGTGATTGAAAGGAACTCACAAATAGCTTTACTCCCAGCATGAAGCAGGTGCAGCAGCTGATTGCTTGTGCTGAGCACATGCCACAGGGCAGGCACAAAGCTTTACTATTGCTTTCTGTAGTTCTGTCTAGTTCTAAGAGGATATTTAAAATTGGAATGATAATGACCTGAGAAAACATGACTTTAGACTAGAAAATAAAATTGCAAGCATTCATTATCAAAAGCATACTGGCAAAGAAGTGTTAGAGAACAAGAATGCCTGATGATGCAATGTTTTTCATCCTGCGACTGAGTACAGAAAACCTTTTCATATGCCCTAAATCTGCAGCTACAATAAAGCCTTCATACAGACAATCTGCTTAAACAGAACGTCACGCTTGCCTTTATTTTATTTTAATTGCAAAACATTATCCAATTTCACTGCTCAAGTATGCACTTCTTAAGGCAATATGCGTAGCTTTATATTATCCTCCATTTTACTTGACGTCAATATCTATTCAATGATGAAATCATAAGCTCCTGAAGTGGCCCATCTATGACGCAGCCATTTCTCTTTTATGTGGCGGAACACCCTCACCTTGTTTTCTTCCTACCAGGACTTATGTAATTTAAAAAGCCTTCTTTGCTCTGAGTCTTCTGGCTGGAATAGTCAGTATCATGGTCTCTTCATACATGTGAACTTGTTCCACCAAAACCAAAAGGAATTTCACCACTAGGTGAGATGGAGCCGTGGGATTCTGGATATTTCAGATTTCTTATTGGCATTCACGTACTATATAGCCTCAAATAATAGCAATGCTCAAGTCTTAGCCCGTTTCCTAACAGCACTTGTGGTGATCTGTAAGTGGGGATCTGCAGAATCATCCCCATTTCAAAGGAGGGAAAAGTGAGGCATGAAGGGGGAGAAAGGGGTATTCACTGCTAAGACAAGGACTGAGGTGTCCTGAATCCTTGTCAGTTCACCGCCTACTGCGCCTCCCCAGTCTGACAGTCCACATCCTGAAGGTAATTAAATGCATATAAATCATAGAATCATAGAATGGTTTGGGTTGAAAAGCACCACAGTGATCATCTAATTTCAACCCCCCTGCTGTGTGCAGGGTCGCCATCCACTAGACAGGCTGTCCAGCCTGGCCGTGAATGCCTCCGGGGATGGGGCATCCACAACCTCCTTGGGCAACCTGTTCCAGTGCTTCACCACCCTCTGTGTGAAAAACTTCCTTCTAATATCTGATCTAAACCTCCCCTGTCTCAGTTTAAAACCATTCCCCCTTGTCCTATCACTATAAATGATGATGGTGCCCAGGAATCTCTCAGGTGATGTTATTCTCCAGGCTGTCCAGAGGTGTTATAGCTTTTTTCCACTTCTTCAGAATAGTAAGTACTGTTGAAATACTTGATTTTGAAATTAGGAGCATCTGTAGCATAAAGAGGAAAACAGGGGAAAAAAGGTTATCCTTTTTTCCTCTTTCTCCAACAATCTGAGTTACAAATGGTAGGAATTGATTTTGAAAGTATGAAAGCTGCACAGCTGTGGGAACTCTAATAGTGATAAGAGCAACTTCTATCATTCATTAGCACTAGAAACATCTTTGAAATGTAGAAAACACTCTGCGCTGTACTTCCTGATAAGTTCCAATTTTCTTCCTACTATGATGGAAAGAGAGCCAAGATTTGATGAATGAAATTGAGACTCACTGTGAAACAGAGCAACAGCCTTGATGAGCTGCCAGATTCCAGCAAAGGTGAATAAGAAAGAAAAAGGCATTTCTGAATAAAATGCCTTTCCCTTCTTCAGAAACAAATCATCGTCTTATAAATTACCTTCTCGAGTGAGAATCCATCCTTTGTGGAACAGGAGACAGACTGCAGAGCAGAGACAATTGATGGATGGTAAAGACAAACTACCAAAAGACAAAGGCATCTTGAGAAAACAGCATGAAGTCGTATTTTCAAGAATGACCACACATCATATTCGCACAGATGCCAACGGGGAACTGAGTTGAGAAATGGAAGAGCTTTCAGATAATCTCTATCCTTTAAGAAGCCAAAACCTCAACATCGCTAACACATCTGAACTCATTTTCAGAAGCGACGCCCCTCACATTTGATGCTCTATCACGCACATTTTTCATGCTTCAGCATAGGTTTCTCTTAAAAGGTTTAGTCACTGCAATGTACAAAATACATTAAAACAAACCCTCAGTACAATTAATATGTCAGGTCAAAAGCTGACTATATCTGTGGAAATTGGCCTAAGAGAAGGGCTCCGTGTTGGTCTAACAGGTCTGCTGAAGTCAGCGGTAGAACTGTTGAACAGCAGTGTGCACAGAGCAATATGTGTGTTTCTGCAGACCTGCCCTCTGACTGGACCAGGAACTGGAGTGTTTTGTTAGTGACTGTGAGTTCCAACTCGAGGTCCCAGCAGCATTTCCCATTGAAATCTTCCAGCTGGCTTCTGCGCACTGCAACATTGGCACTGGTCACAATTAAACAAGGACAGAAGAAAGACACTACCTGGTGGCACTACAGAAATACAATTTGATGTAGTATTAGAAAGAAGAAAGCACTGTGGGGAAGAAGACTTTCTTCTTACCTCCCCAGGCTTGAAAAACAGATCTCACTGGGTTGTAAAAACCTATCTGTCTGTGGGTACTTTATTTTACTAAGAAAACCCAACAGTGCATAAAGTTGACATCTATCAGCTGCAATTGGGCACCTGCAAAGGAGCACCTGGATCTGAAACCCTAGAAGCAGGTGCCTTTAGCTGAATACTCACTGGCACAGAAGAAGCCCACACCAAATCACAACAACACTGAAGCAAGGAAAAAAAAGAAAAAGAAAAAAAAAAAAAAAGGAAGAAAGAAGGAAAAGTAGCAGGGTGTGGATGTGCAGAAATTAATCCAGTCAACTATACAAAGTTCAGGAGTATGGAAATGAAGTTTCACAATTACAGATCTGTATGGTCCAGTTTCCTAAAGCCCAATGTCCGTATCAAATCTCTTCAACACGAGTGCTGGTTTCTCTGTCAGGAGTGGAGCTGATGCACCAGCTCTATCTGAAGGGTAGCTTCAGGGAAGCTGAAGGGCAGTATGAGAGTGCTGCTGTGGGAGACCAGGGTGAGGTGAACCTTCTGCAGATATGCTGCTTGCCTCCTCATATTCATGGAATCCAGGAGGGACTGTGGGACCAGGAACTACGGTTTGCCTTTAGTTTTATCAGCTCAGGCTCACAGTGCACAGCTGTAGGGGTAGGAATGGGCCAAGGGCGTTGTGCATGCTTCAGAGGCTCCTTCTCCAGGCTCATCACCCGATAGAGGATCTCCTGCAGACAGTGCTGCGCTGGGCACTCAGCACAGCTTCTGCTCCAGGCACAAGCACAGGCATCGAAGCAAGAAATGACTTTTTCTTGGCATGACCCACTACAGAATTGAACTGGGATGGCAATTAGAAGTTGAAGTGCACATTTAATGCCGGCGATGTGTAAACTACATTGCCATTGTTATTTTAGTGCTGATTTACATAATTGGCATAGTGGCATGCTGCTTGCACCTTGTTCGTGGTGAAGACTGACAGGAAGTCATAAAACTAAACATATATTTGCTCTGAAATGCAATGAAAAAGTTGCAAAACTTTTGAGGGCCTTTACCACGCCATGTGTGCCCTGCAGCAGCAAGCGAGGGTCAGGTGAAGGAACTTGGGGAGCAGCAGGACCAAAGGGACTCTCCTGGCTCCATAGTTACACCAGCACAGGGCTGGAAATCCCCACTTGGGCACTGTCCCAGGGCACAGCTGCAGCTGAAGAGAAAGCAGGAGAAGGGACCTGTCCCAGTGCAGATGCTGTGTCGTGCCCTAAGTCAAGATGGAGGGAGAAGGTCACTCCAAAAGGAAGAGCTGAGAATGGAGGTGTCAAGGTTGTTGTCGCTTTAGATTCTCATCCGCAGTATTTTAGGTTTGGCTATGGCTTCTCTGCAAATGAAGTCCCTGAGAAATATTTGTGACCTCACAGGCCACAACCCGCACGGGGCTCCAAACCCTGCGACGGCCCCGGCGGTAGGTGCCGCACAGCCGCGCGGAGGGGCCGCGTCCCACGCAGGCGGACGCAAGCCGGGGCAGAAGCCGCCCCCGAGCACGGTGCCGCGGCGAAGCGCAGAGCGGCAGCGAGGAGCGGGCAGGTGCGGAGCGGGGCCGCGGGCGGGGAGCGCCGCGCCGCCGCCACTGGGGGGCAGCCACGGCTCAGGAACGCGCCGCGGCCGTGCGGGCCGGGCCGGGGCCGGGGCACGGGGCAGCGTCCCGGGTGCTCCTGCCGCACCCCGACGGCAGCAGAGCGGGGAGCGCGGCTCCCAACCCGGGGCCGGGCACCGCGGCGGTGAGGCGCGGGATGGGCGCGGCTCCGCGCTTCGGGAGCGCCGCCGGGGGCTCGGGGTCGGCTCGGGTGGGGTCGGGTCGGGCGACCCAGCGGTCGGCCCCCGCGCGGGCGGGCGGGCGGACGAACGCACGCACAGACGGATGGACCGGAGGCCGCCGCGGCGCTGCCGGGCGAGGCAGGGAACGGGCGAGGGAGGAGGGAGAGAAGCGGCAAGGGAGGGAGAGAGGGAGGCGGCGTCTCCTTTAAAAGCCGTGCGGGGCCGCGGCCCGCTCCCACAGGGCGGCTGTGATTGGCGCGGGCCCGCGAGCCTCCGGGGTCGTGACATCGGCGCGCAACAAAAAGCCGCGGCGGCGTTCGGCCGCCCCCGTGCATGGTGCGGCGCGGGCGGGACGGGCGCGCGCTCGCAGCGCTGTCCCCGGCGCTCCTCCGCGGTGCTCCACGCCCTCCAGAGGGTTGTGTTGTTTTTTGTTTTTTGTTTTTTTTTTTTTTGTATTGTAGGTTTTTATTTTGTTCTCCTCCTTTCTTTTTTCAAGGGAGCGGAGCAAAGCGAAGCCGAACTCCCCTCTTCATGTCGCTGCGGGGCTCCCGGTAAATATCCGTCCGTCCGGTGCGGGTGATGCGAAGGACGCTCGCGAAAGGCGCCGTTCCGCTCCGTAACGCATAGCACCCACTCGCGGGCGGGCACGCGCGCACCGAGAGGAGGACGAAAAGGAAGCGTCGACTTTTCGACCGCCGCTTTCCGAAAGGAGAAGCTTTCTCCCGGCGGAGACCTTCCTTCTGCCTCCTGCCCCGCCGCCGAAGGCATGTTCCCGAGGCGCTCCGCACCGCGGGGAGCTCTCGCTTTCCGCCCAGCAGCCGCAGAGGAGCAGCAGCAGCGCGGTTCGGAGTAACTCCAAGTGATGCGGGGACCACAGCCCGAGAGCAGCACGCGCTCCTGCAGACGCCAGCCCCGCCGCACTCAGGTACGGCCCCGCGGCCGCTGAACGCCGTCTCCGCAGGATGACTCCGTGCGCTCCGCAAGAGAGGGGGGACGGGACGCTGAGCGTGTTCGGAGAGCGTGTAGCGATCCTTATCCCGCGCGGAATTTCGCGGGGGAGAAGAGCGTCCCGCGACTCCTGCTCGGGACGGAGCGCGATCGGCATTTTTTTCTTTCTTTTTTTTTTTTTTTTTTTTTTTTTTTTTTTCTCCTCCTCTTTCCACGCCGGGAGAGAGGGGCCCTCCTCCCTGCGCACGGGGAAGCCGCGGCTGGAAAGCCGGCCCCGGGCCCCGCGCCGTGCACGGCCGGGAGGTCCCTCTCCCACCGCCCCGTCCCTCTCCACCCCCGTCCCCTCGGCAGGGGGCCGCCGCGGCGCACACCTGCGCCAGCCGAGGGCAGCGCTCTGGCCGCCCGCGCCCCTTCCCCTCGGCCCCCCGCGGCCCTGCTCGGCCCGCCCGGCTCCCTTTGATCCCCCGCCGCGGGGTTTTCGTGCCGCCGCGCACCTGAGCCCCGACGGGGCCCCCTCCGCGCCGTCCCGCGCGCCATGGGCTGGCAGCCACCTGCGGAGCGGCCCCAGCCGCCCCCCGCCTCGCGGCGCGCTCCCCCGGCGCGGTGCCCGCGCTGACCGCCTCCCATCGCCTCCTCCTCCGCGCAGGTCGACCATGGTTGCCGCCACCCGCTCCCTCCTGGCGTTGCTGCTCTGCCGGGTGCTGCTGGGCGGCGCGGCCGGCCTCATGCCGGAGGTGGGACGGCGGCGCTTCAGCGAGCCGGGCCGCGCCGCCTCGGCCGCGCAGCGCCCCGAGGACCTCCTGGGCGAGTTCGAGCTGCGCCTGCTCCACATGTTCGGGCTGAAGCGGCGGCCCAGCCCCGGCAAGGACGTCGTCATCCCCCCCTACATGCTGGACCTTTACCGCCTGCACGCCGGCCAGCAGCTGGGCTACCCGCTGGAGAGGGCCGCCAGCCGCGCCAACACCGTGCGCAGCTTCCACCACGAAGGTAGGGGCCGAGGGACCGGCAGAGGAGCGGGAGGAGAGCGAGGGAGGGCCGGAGGAGGGGCGGCGGGGCGGGCTCCGCGCTTCGGAGGGGGTCGCGGGTGCGTTTCCAGAGTCCCCCGCGGGCTCCGGCGCTGCCGGCGGGAGGCTCTCGTCGCGCTCTGCTGGGCGCGAACGGAGCGATCCCGCGGCGGGCTTTCTTTGGGCGAGGCGGAATGCCGAGGAAAGCGTCCCCCGAGCCGCGGCGAAGGTTCCTAATCCCTTATCTAAATCCCCGTGGGACATGGGCGAAGCGGTCCGGTGCGGCCTTTCCCCGACCGCCGTCGAGCGGAGGAGCGGCGAAGCCCGGAGCCGCGCCGCTCGCCCGGAGGTAACGCTCCGGCACGGAGCTCCGGCCGCTGGCTTCCCGTCCGGGGGGCCGTTCCCAGCGAGCGGCTTCCACGGCCGAGATCGCTGCCGCGTGGGGCCCGCGGAGCCGTCGATGCGCGCCGCTGCTGCGCTCTGCAGGAAACGTTTCCCCGGGATGTAACCTTCACTGGCCGTAGTCTCTGACGCTGGCACAGGGCGGCTCTGCTTTAAAGGGAATGAAAAGGCGGTCGCCCCGCGCTCTTCAGGTGGAACTGTGCTAAGAAAAGAAACGCGCTTGGACCTAATGGGTTCTGCTGGACAGAGTTGGCCCCGGTGCCGTTTGGCGGTGAATTTCAGTGGTGAAATGCAACTCTTGCTGTAGTGGGGAAGTAAACAGCAGTGACACATGGCTTGTTCCTTGTAAGCCCGCGCGTGGCAGGCAAGGCGCTGAGCAGGAGTGGAGCTGAGGGGCACAGAGTGTAACTTGTAGGCAGACAGAATGGTGTTGGAAGCAGTGGTGTTGCAACAAAGTCCTTGACATAGAAGCTGTCCTCCAGTTTTCACAGACTGGAGATGAAAATCACCGTGACTCCATTTTTCCATTGAGTTCTCACTGTTGGTTCATGACTTCATTAAAGCAGGAGGCTGTGCTGGGAGCGCTCGCACATCTGCATATTTACAAACGCCAGGCTGGTCCCAAAGCGCTGCGAAGCTGAGCCCTGCCTGATGCGGGAAGTCGTGCTGGAGCCAGCAGGGAATGGCATAAGGCTAAGAACTGCTCACATCAGTGCCAGCTTCCCTTCAGAAAGTGAATGGATCCCCAGGATGCTGAGTAGCAAAGTGGAAAAACCAGGATTTCAGAGAGATTTTGCTGTGGGCAAACAGCATTTCTTCTATTTCTTCAGCAAAAACAGTGTAGTGGCCCTAGATACGTAGTACTTCCCCTGAAGTTCCATTCCCGTGTCTGTTGGCTGAAAAGGGAAGATGGCATGGGACTTAGGAGTTGGTTTGGTTGCTAAAAATGAGTTGTTCCCTTATCTGTTTAGCATCCATCCATTCTAGCAGCTAGACCCATTCTCACAGTTCTTTGGACCACATACTGAGGTGTGCTTGTAAAGTGCCCTTATAGATGTTGAGGTCGCTGCGTCTAGTTAACATATGCAAATCCCTGCATTAAAATTGAGTAAATTACTGAAATTGTGGAGTACTGTATTTCAGAGTGGAGCTTAAGGGATTGATGCTTGAGCCACATTCTTGAAAAATGCAGAAATGCAGCAGTTCCCCTTAAATCCTCAGTTGGTTTTAATGATTCTCATCAGACCTCCGCTAACTGTGGTGCTTGAGTTTTCTCACTGGTGTCCTTGAATTCCAACGTGATGCTTCATGTTTCTCAGCACTCGTAATGACTACCTGGAATGCAGAGAGCACCGGTATTCCATCAAAGTGCATGACAATGAATGAAGCGTTCTTAACTTCATGCTGTACATGCTTGCGTAAATAAACAGAAAGATGAGGGAGGCTGTGCTTTCTGCCTGGAAGTCTTTCAGGTCTTGTTTGTCGCATGCCAGCAGCACGTATCTGAGTGGTTTGGTTGCTTGTCTCAGTTCCTAACTTTTTTTTCTCTCTCCCTCTGCTCCCTGCCCCCTTCCCTGCCCCCCCTCCTGTTTAATCAAATTAGAAGTTTTGGAAGAACTGCCAGAAACAAGTGGGAAAACAGCACGACGTTTCTTCTTTAATTTAACTTCCATCCCTAATGAGGAGTCTATCACCTCAGCTGAACTCCAGATTTTTCGGGAGCAGGTGCACGAAGCCTTTGAGAGCAACAGCAGCTACCATCACCGTATTAATATTTATGAAATTATAAAACCAGCCACAGCCACCTCTAAGGACCCTGTCACAAGACTTTTGGACACCAGGTTGGTGCACCATAATGCGAGTAAATGGGAAAGTTTTGATGTAACGCCAGCTGTTTTGAGGTGGATTGCACACGGACAACCTAATCATGGGTTTGTGGTGGAGGTGGTTCACTTGGACAAAGAGAACAGTGCCTCCAAGAGGCACGTTAGGATTAGCAGGTCTTTACATCAGGACGAAGATAGCTGGTCTCAGCTCAGGCCGTTGTTAGTGACGTTTGGGCATGATGGCAAGGGACACCCGCTTCATAAAAGAGAAAAGCGTCAAGCGAAACACAAACAGCGTAAACGCCACAAATACAGTTGCAAAAGGCATCCGTTGTATGTGGACTTCAATGATGTGGGGTGGAATGACTGGATTGTTGCCCCGCCGGGGTATAGTGCCTTTTACTGCCATGGGGAATGTCCTTTTCCGCTGGCAGATCACCTAAACTCAACAAACCATGCCATTGTTCAGACTTTGGTCAATTCAGTGAATTCCAAAATCCCCAAGGCTTGCTGTGTGCCGACAGAACTGAGTGCTATTTCAATGCTCTACCTTGACGAGAACGAAAAAGTTGTACTAAAGAACTATCAAGATATGGTTGTGGAGGGTTGTGGGTGCCGCTAACACAGCGAATATATCGGACAAATGCAAAAAAGAAAAAAGAAAAAAAAAAAAAAGCTGACACTTTAATATTTCCCAATGAAGACTTTATTTATGTAATGAAATGGAAAGAAAAAAAAAAAACACAACTATTTTGAAAATATATTTATGTCTACGGAAAGGTTGGGAAAACAAATATTTTAATCAGAGAAATATTCCTTTAAAGATTTTAAATGTATTTTAGTTGTACATTTTATATGGGTTTAACCCCCAGCACATGAAGTATAATGGTCAGATTCTTATTTTGTATTTATTTACTATTATAACCACTTTTTAGAAGAATAGCTAATTTGTATTTATATGTAATCAAAAAGAAAAAAATATAGGGTTTGTACATAATTTTTCAAAATTGTAGCTGTTTCAATCGCGTGTATTTAAGTTGAAGAGAAGACACGGAAGGTTACCATGGCAAAGTGCATAGCACATTTGCTTTCTGCAGTGCTACTGTTAAGGTCACAAGTTCAAGTCCAGAAAAAAGTGGATAATCCACTCTGCTGACTTTCAAGATTATTATATTGTACAATTCTCAGGAATGCTGCAGGGTGGGCTGTCCAATCCATGAGAACTGGCATCCTCCTTAGGTGGAACATTTGGATAAGAACCAGACGTTGCTGATCTAGTATAAATACTACTATTCCTGACTAATTTGCAGAGTGAATATAAGAAGGGCCAACAGAAATCCCAGGGGAGGTGGGGGTGGGGGAAGAGCAAATCCTTTCTAGACCTACAGAAAAGCGAATGTTTGATGTTTCCTTTAAAAGTCCTTCCTTTAAAAGTCCTGGCCAAATATAAAATAATAAAAACTCAAATGTTATCTTTTTTTTTGTGATTATGTATGCTGAAGAGGAATAATGATCTTATTTGTACTGGCCCTTGTCTTTAACAGTTGGATAAGTGTTGCGTACTTCCTCGCCTCAGGTGGGAGCTCGCTTCTGTGCGGTGTAACAGTGAAATTGTCAATTTCTCGTGCTTCATGCAGCAAGTTGTTACAGTGAGCAGCCTCCCATCTAACCTTGGATGATGGTTTCGCGGTTTTACAGATTAGCTTCTCTTCCTTCGTGGGGTTTTGTTTGAAAGGTTTTTCTTTCCTTTCCCAAGATGTTTGGATCTCTTTCAGATAATAAATCATGGAACTCTGCTATTTCTCTCTGGAAAAATCCAATCTGTAAGAAAACATGGTTCACTCGTCCAGCCATCACAGGAGCAACCTGTGCTTACATCATTTAACTTTCTAAATTTATTGTGTAAGGGACAAGAGCATGACTTGCAGTTGGTAATCTCAGCATTGCAGCTAATGCTTCTCATGCTGTTGTATGTTAGAAGACTGGTGTGGCAGTCAGCATATGGGTTATGGAGAATGAGGTGAGCATGCGGAGGCTGGGTTGCTTTGTTAGAAGAAAGCTATGCTGAAATAGTACAGCAGGAAAGTAGCTTCTTTTGGCTTCTTGGTGATCCACTGCAAAGCTAGGAGCAGAGGGAAGTTGTGTTAGACTACCTGTGGTCTTAGGAGCTCTCTGTTATATTTGGTGAAGATAGGGTGGCTCTGTGCTGATGCTTTGGAGATGTCTGAGCTCCTTTGTGCCCTGCTGAATGGAACAATTTGGATAAGTGAGGCAGCATGTCCTAAAGCCATACAGTTATCCCATTAGAGACCTCTCAAAGCCAGCTTGGGAAATCTGATTTATAATGCATTACTAACAACAATCTTCTGTTTTGCATGGCCTTCCCCAAACTCCTGCTTGTTGCCAGCATCTTCTGTGTTACAGCTGCTCAGGAGAACTGACCTAGTAATATCTTACAGGTAGTCTTACAGTGAAGTATGCTTCCTCTGTGCTTATTGTAAAAAGCAATGGGGGGAGAGGATGGGAGAGAAAAACTAATGTTACTTCTTGTTGACTGTTAACATTTTCATCTTGTGAGCTTAAAAATGTATTAGCAAGCTGTAAGCTTCTGTGTAGAAATTCAAACCTTGGTATGTACCATCGATATTCTTAATAACTAAGAGAGTATGGTGTTACATAGTAGTCTATAGGTTTGCTGAGTGGACAACCCCTCATTTCTCTTTTCAAGAGATGAGTGCTGTTCTGTTGGCCTTTTTCTTGTTTTTGAGGCTGGGAATCTTTGCAGAATTGTGGTTTGCCTTTCCTCTGCTTGGAAGGGCATGCCTGTTTTACTGAGAGGTGATGGTGATTGTTTTGGAAAGGTTATCAGTCAGCGTGTGCCACAGTGCTGCAAGAACTCAGCAATCATTTGGGTTGGGTGGCGGTGCCAGTTAGGGCATGGTAGCAGTAGCATGCTCTGTATCTTAGGTTTGCAAAAGCTGAACGTGAAGTGCTGAAAAATGGATTGCACCACTGCTATGAGCAGAAAAGATGATCCCAAACCTGCTGCAATCAGTGAAGACCCTACGGCACGTCTAACCACATCCTAAGCTCCCAAGTGTTGCCAGGCTTAAGTTTCACAGCTCCTAGCCCATTGTGTGTAACTAGATTTAGGGAGGCTTTTTCCAGAGAGGTGACTGCTTTAGATCTTCTCTAAGGCATGAGAATGCATTGATGCTAATCTTGTTTTTTAAAAACAAAACAAACAAAAACCTTGGCTTTGGTGCTTGTCAGTGCATGAGCAGTAGTGGTTCGTGGCATGGTGCTGCATTCCTAGTGAAGGCAAACTTCTAGTTGCTTGACAAAGAACTGCATAGTTAATAAAATTCATGGTGAGGTCATTGTGTAGTTGTAAACACAGCAAGAACCACTTCTGTAAGAGCCTGCTTTTGTGTCACAGAACTTCCTTACTGATTTTGAGGAGAAAATACGTATGCACCAAGCTCAACAAGTCAATGCATTTCTACAGAATTGGTTTCAAAGTGCGTCTTTAAGTTCTTGACCTTAAATTCTCTGGATTGGATATGTGTGAGTGCCGTGCTGAGTAATTTGTTTAGGATTTTTATAAAGAAGGAAACAAAACAGAGGCTGTCCTACGTGAGTAGTAGAGAAGTCTTACAGAACAGTTGTGTTCTTAAATTCTTAAGTGTCGGTGATCAGATGGCCCTTCTGAAATATGGGTTTTCTGATGTCTTCTCAGTCTAGTAATGACTAAATAATCCTAAATACTGAAAGTATGCTGTTACCACTGTATTTTAGTACTTATTGTAGTTCATTAGTACTAATTAGTGTTATATTGTTCTACAAGAAGAAATTAACTTCTTCCTACATCCCTCTGCTTGAGAAAAAGCAGAAGATCTAGAAGGTGAATTTCCCTCTGTCACCCTAAAGTCTGTTTCCCCTCAACATAATGCTTCTAGGTGCTTGCATATAATCTATATAGGCAGCGATTGTGATAGATAATGTCACCATTTGTGCTTTTCAGATAAGCATCTCTCTAAACACAAATGTGATCAACACCTCTCCTTGTCCTTTTGAGACTCAGTAACAGCTTTGTTGGGTGGCTTGATAATCTTTACACAAACCTCAGTTGGACTTCTGTGGTCAGCAACGTGTAAAAATGACATGGAAAGACCTTCAGTTGAGGTAAGCTCTCCAGAGAGCATTGGCTGTTTTCACCCAGCAGGGTCTGTTTCTGCTGTACTAACCTGGGTTCATTGTGATCAGACACTGAGACCTGTCTTTTCCTATGACCGTGAGGTTTGGGTGTCTGCAGGCTGTCACTGCTCTCTCCCTTGTTGGGCAGTGAGGAGTCTTCCATTGGTGCAGTCGGTAGTGATGAGGCATAGAGAGGAACACTGCTCGCTGTAGTCTTGCCTTTGAAGATGGAGTTCATCTGGATGGCATTTATAGTAGACTCACTTTGCTGCCACCCTATTTGAAGAGGATAATTATTGAACTATTTTATTATATAGCTATTCCCAAATTGTTGATTTTTTTTTTTTTTTTTTTAATTGATTTCAGGAGGCAGCTAATTGCCATATGGCAGCTTGACATTAATGTTTTATGAAGATCAGGAAACAAAAGTTTATGAAAAGCTTTTGTATAGTAACTGCAGAGTTTCAAGAACTGTTTTATACTTCCTGACAGTGCAGGTCTGGCTTAATGGTTTGTTTTTATTGCTTAAGAGTGTAAACTTTTCTTTAGCCAATGTGTGGAAATTATATCCTCATCCCGCATTACACATTTCTCATTACTCATTCCCTGCTTTCATTTCTGCCATCTGTAATCAGAGCTTTACTGTTTCAGCTGCATGTGAAATGCTCCTATCCTGTGCACAGTAAGTTACTTTCCTTCACTTGCACCCACCCCTACAAAAGAAAAAGTTAAAAAAAAAAAAAAAAAAAAAAAGTGGGGGAAAGGCCTTCTTGGTCTATATTGTTTTTCTCTGTTTTGGGTGGAGTCTGTCTTAGATTCTGGTTGCTAGATGGTTTCTGTAGTAACCAGCAGAGAAAAAAATCCGAGACTGAAACGGCACTTTTAAAGGTGCCATATCTTGCCTGGAGTATTATTTATCTCATTATGGGCATGGAATATTTCTCTTCTTTATGTTAAGGCTTCCTTTCCCTTCTTGGTAGGATGCACTGCTGCCATGGAGAACTTGATTTGTTGTGATCTTGCCATATGAGAATGTGAGGACTGCAAGTCCTATTCCCAGTTGACTTAAGCTGCTCAAAATAAGGATGAGAAGCCAAAGGCATTAAAAAGTATTTTAAATGTTATAAGCAATTGTTACTGGCGCAAACCACTTTATTCTTTAGTTACATGAGGGGGGGAGAAGAGCAGCTAGGTTCAGAAGGACCCTTGTAGTATACATAACTGCTGCGAGGAGGGCATTGGGTAGGAGTGGTGTTCTTTTATTTTGCCAAGCTACTGTGTAGAAAGAAAAAACACTGCTCCTTCAGAATATGTTTTTACTCTGCTGTACATCAAAGGTGTTTTTTTTGTTGTTGTTTACTTCTCCCAAGAGATTTTACAGGTGTATGAGAAAGTAACCATTTGCATCTACTATGTTGGACTTGCTTGGGCACAAAAAGGATGCAAAAAAATTATTGTGAGATTGAATCTTTCCTGTCTCAGCAGTGCTAATCCTTCATCAGCTGTACTGCTGACAGCTTTGTCTGCAGCAACCAGTCATGGTTTCCTGAGGTGGAATTTCTTCTCTTTGAGATCTGGTCTCCTGTCAGTGCCCTCTGGGATCTAGCAACACCCAGGCCACAAGCCTTGTGCCAGGGCTGCTCAGTGAAGTGGGTACACTGGTTTTTGTCCTGTTTCCATGTTCTTTGCAGCGCCAAATTTGTCCCTGCCTTCAGCAAGAATCCTTGTTCAGGAAGTCTTCAGGTTCACACCTGTTGTGTGCAGCAGGAGACACCTTGGAGCACTGGGGACCATGTTTGTGACTTGCCAGAAGTCTGAGGGCCAAAGGCCATTTGCACCTGTATTTACGCAGTGTTCCAAAGGCATGCAGCTCTCGTACCTGCCCAGGCTTGCATTTCCCCCAGTAGATGAACTAAGGCTGAGAGCTGTTGGTCTTCTGTTCTCTAGAGGCATGGAGCTTGCAGTGGGTTAGCTGGGTTCTTGGCTCATCATGCAGGGCAGTGACAAGCAAGCAGTAGTTCTGCTCTTCAAATTTCATATGCTGCATATTTGGCTGCTAGCACAAAAACCAGATGAGGCTAGGGCAGCAGTTGGCTTAACTCCAGGAAATAGCAGATTTCTGGCTTCTTAGTTTGCAAAAAGGCAAAGGTGTTTTCTGGAAAGTAGTGATGGGCAAGGGAAATGGGGAAGGACTTACAGATTTTTTGAAGCTGAAAGTGTTAGAAGTATGTATGTGACTTCAGTTAGAGAGATCAGAGCAGTGAAATGAT